GGAATTAGGAAAGAAGTATAGCATCCACTCAACTATGTGTCTCAATCAGTATATACTTACTACCCCCTGACTTTTCAGTGTCCTCGTTACGGTGTCCCGCCGTACACATGCCACCTATATATATATATTATTATATAGGCTATAAAGCTATAAAAGAGAAAGATTTTTGATATTCCTACTAATCTGCTTTCCTCCAGTGACGCAGATAGAGACCTCTTCCAGACTGCAGCTTACACTTTCTCTAACTTAATCTATCACACGCTTTCTTACCACACATGTCGGAGCTTAGAGCTTGTCATCCCTCGCCTCTCCCCCCCTGAGGCTTGGGGGGTTTGTGTTCCCGTCAGCCGAAAGCAGAAACGCCAACCCGATTGTGTATCCGCATCTCAAACTACCAGCGGAGGAGAAAACGCCCACCCCTTACCGGAGATTTCAATAACATTTTTTTTCAAAAAAGCAATAAATCAAATCATGAATAATAAATCTCTTTTGCAGGTTCGCAAAGGCGGCGCGTGGGCCCTTCCCTAGACCTGGCGTTGGAGGCGTCAATGGGAGGCACCGTCCTCAGCGATCGAGGAACATCCGCGGAGAGAGGTTCCGACATCTTCATGGGTTCGAGTGAGCAATATTTTCGTTTCGCATAATATTTCTTCCATATTTGTTCTTTCCATATTTTCTCTCTCTCTCTCTCTCTCTCGGGTTCTTCTCATCAGTCATCTTCCTCTCTCTCTCTCTCAATCTTTCTCTCTCTTTCCTATTTCTCTCCCCTCCTGGACCTGCTGTTGGAAGGTTTCCAAAGGGGGATGCACCGTCCCTCAAGCGGTGACGCCTCCAACAGCAGGTCTAGGAAGGCCACGCGCCGCTTGCGACCTGCAAAAGAGATTTATTATTCATTGATTGATTTATTGGCTTTTTTGAAAAAAATGTTATTGATCTCGGAAGGGGGGTGCGGCGTTCCTCCTCCGCTGGTACGTGAGATGCGGATACACATTGGCTTTCCTTCGCTGACGGAACACAACCCCAGCCGTGACAAGCTCTAAGCTTCCGACATGTGTTATAGTATAGTGCATGTAAGTGTAAGAGTATCGTCCACTG